TAAAATACCAAACTTGAACATTACTATAGTTTTTTTCTGTCTGATGACATCATATTTAAATATTAAATCAGATGTTCTGCTCAGTTTATCAGTACTTGGGTAACATTTTTACCAAATACTGAGGAATTACTTGGAGGGATGATTCTTACTTTTACTTGAGAAAAATATATTGACGTAGTACTATTTTTACACACTTAAAATAATCGGGTACTCTACCTCCTGTGCTTTTGAGTAAATCATGCTTCATAATTTCTGCCACATTAGTTCTTTCCTTGATGTTTATTTTCATAGTTTATTGTTGTGTTGCCCTTCCTGAAACTGTTTCCTATCATGACSTGTGTTTTTATTTCTGTTCWGGTCTTGTCTTCGGCTGTTTGTCTCCTGAATTTAGATCTTCCCATAGACGTACTGGTTTATTCAATATTTAGTTTCTTAGTATTTTCTTGTATTTTGTTCTTTGTACATTTCTATTTAGTTTTATTTTCTTGGTTTATTATGTCTTCTTTAGTTTCTCATGTTATTATTCTTCCTCCCAGCTGTTTTTATTGTATTCATACTTACTATTAATCCCATTCAGAGCAGCTGCTTTTCTTTTGCCGTTCATGTGCTGAAGGACAGTTTCTTCACAGATTCCACTAATTCCAGTTTAGCCTTGAAACCTTCTCCAGCTACTTCTTCTGCACAAAATGCCAAAAGGACAATACAGCATTGCAAAAGTTTAATAAAGAAACATAAATTTGTACACTTTTTCAGGTTTTCAGGCATTATATGGTGAATGCTGTATAATCACACTGTATATATACACTCTTGATACAAATCTGATTTTATTTCTCTGCAGCATCCTGCCCACGAAGCAGGGCCTTCTGCTGGGGAAGTACCTGGGAGCCTTCAGCCTGATGGACACCTTCAGGGGACGCTCTAAAAAACAGGAATAAGATCATGAAGAAGCCATGACTGAACTGAAAGGACAGAAACTTTAATGTCAGGCCTGTTCACAGCTAATTATAATATTCTTACATTCATCAAATAGCATGGATTTAGCATAACACAAAACTGAATGTTTGATCTTGTCWTTGTTTCAATTTTCAAGATTAAGATTTTTGTGGCGTCTGATGTTTTAATGAAGGTTTTGTTTTTATAACAACACACAGCTTACAATGTTTTGAAGTGTTTCAGTGATGCTATGGGATATTCTTTCTTCAAATATTCAGACACCTTGAAATTCAGCCAACAAATGTTTTTATGTATGACCTGAAGTCTGCTTGTTTTATCAATGCAATGATAAAAAAAGAAGTCCATTTTAAGTTTTGTTTTATAGTCAGAACTATTCAACCTTAACCAATAGAAAACTTGAACCCATTTTCATATTATGTCCAAATCAGTGTTTTGTTCCTGTTCTCACAACTTACTCTTGTTGAAATTTCGTAGGTCAGTAGTTTTCAAACTCAGGGACACAGCTTCTAGTGAGGACACAAACTGCTGCTTGTTCCAAAGATGTGTTGATGGGACAGCGGCTCACGCAGGAGGTCGACTCCCAACAGCCTATACGCCACGGACGTCTGATTCTAGCACCTTTACCCCACACCGCTCTTCTGGTTCACGGTCAACACAGTGTTAGCCAAAGATTTTTTCACCCGACAACGACTCTTAATGATCTCCACAGTACAGAATTAGCATATTACATGTATCAACATTAACACAGGAGATGTACAGGTCCAG